TGTTCATTCATTTGTTCGTTCGTACGTTGTTTTACTACGCTTCCACTGAGTTATTGTCGAGGACCGCCGTTCATCCGTCTCCTACCAAGATCTCGTTTTCTTTTAACATAGTAGCCTCGGCTGACGGATGACGGCCTTCTGTAGAATGAGCGTATTTCGCATTTTTATAAGCGACAATGTGAAGTATTCCTTATACCGAAGGCATGCATTCATCCTCGGTTTTGCCTCCTTCCGGTTTTTACCAGTATATATATTTCAGTACATTGAAACGCGGCGAACAAAACATTTTTCATATTCCATTAAGGGTACGATTAACTTCGCCACGAGATCAGCAATAGTTATGTTGGTTAGTTTGGTTTTGGTTCTAAGGAACGTTCTACGTTGCTAGACGTTTCACGTTGTCAAAAAAAGCAATTTTTATGCCATATTTCAATAATTAGCAACTAATATCCTCATCAGACGTTCAAGCACGTATGAAAAAAGGAATCGGTTCGTTGCCGACTTGAGTGACAGTTAATGAGCTTCTCTTTCTGATCGATCGTTCGAGGAAACAACTAGTAAGGGTAAGGCTCAATTCTTTGTTACCGAGCGCTTCGACGCTGTCCACCAGTATTACCCTCATAATGACGCTCATGTGCGGCGTCGAAATGTATAGGTGAATAAAGTTTTTTCTCCTCATTTTTAATAGTTGCCTTGAAACATGGATCGGGAGGCGAAGATCACCGACTAATTGCCCTCAATTAAATCAATTATTAAAAATTGATGTGAATGTACCACACTCTTTACTGTCTTATTCATTCAGTTAAAATATGGATACTGTAAAAGTCGCCAAAGAATACTCCTATAGTTCTTTGTAGCTGGTCACCTCCTCATATTCAAATACTAAATTTGTGTTTTTAATATACTCAGGAACTGGCTAACCTCCGACAGAAACCGGTCTGCTGAGAAGTTTCATGGCGACCTGGTGAGACAATGCTTCGGTCGATCAAAAGCCGTCGATACTGGCACCAACAAACCGTGGCCAGCCAATAAACCGACTTTCGCGCCAGTTAGCATTGGCTTCTGGCGACTACAGATTGAACTATTCGATAATTGGTGGGCTCGCTCAGGCGCTTGGTGCTATTGACTGTACTTGTCATAATTCGTAGAATACTACTGTGTAATCAACCTCGTCAGGGTAGGGAAGAAGAGGGCTCATTGTAGAGGCACGACATGCTCATCTGTCTACCCTGACATGTGCGGTCATGTTGTGGCTCGCGGATCATTAGACGTCTTCCGCATCGATACGTTGCTGCCAGATTGCCCTCCTTCACCGTACGTTCGCAATGGGTTTTATTCTTCATTCTCAGGAGTCAGGGGGGAGAGATCATAACCGGTTTAAGCGCAATTAATTTGCCTTCGCCCCTTCTGTAGGCAGTTTTTCCCATAAGGTGCTACGAAGCGGTACACGGTGTACAGAACCCTCACTGCAGGTGACATTTACCGGCATTTTGTACGTCTGTCCACTGACCAAGAGGCTAGCAGTCGAGTTCGCGTCGCATTACTCTCTTTCCTACCTGAAGCTTCCTCATGGCGTACTTGCGGGAATAAATGTGACGAGTGGAAGCAACGCTGAAGTGAAGCGGATTTGCTCAAAACTCGCAGGCGGTTTGACGGGCTGTCGAGGCCAGAAAATTGATGGTAGGCACGAAAATGAGTCTGCGCTTCCAGACGCTCTCTCACGATTCGCACTGACCACGTAGTTTGTGTCAAAGCGCGTTTTTCGAGTCTCAATTTTAGTGACAGAAAGCGCATTTGTCGCTCGTTGTGTCGCTTATTAATGCGACGACTAGCAAACCGGATCGTCATTATGTCACAACGACTGTGGCATGTCCGATTGTGGCGCGCATTTCCGGATTTCGACAAGAGGAATGGACGAAAACCTCGTAACGATCTTTGGCCTTTCGTCACGCTGTCAGACCACCGAAGGACCGAGTTCGAACCAACGACGATTTTCGATCTCTGACCCCC